AAATGGCCAAGGCACACAGGTAACATTAAGCTTGACATGGATATTGTGAACGGAGAAAAACGCAAGAAGACATTTACTGTAGTTAAGGAGRTGAATTACTTGATCGATGTCATTGATGGCATAAGCTCGTATATCCATTGTCTGCGTCTCATCGCCTGGCTTTTTCGGTTCAGTGATAAATGCAGACGAAAGTCTACGACAACCGCCATTTYGCCATCTCCTGACGAATTACGACGTGCATCATACTGCATTATCTTCAATATTCAGCAACAACATTTTTCAAACGATATTCAATTGCTTCGAAAAAACCAAGCTCTTAAAGGTAACTTGAAGTTTCTCACACCATTCTTGGACAACGTATCTGGTTTTGAACTCATAAAAGTCGGTGGACGTCTAGATTATGCAGWTTTACCCAACTCGCAGAAACATCCGATTCTGCTACCCAGCGATTCCCAATTTGTACTGAAGTACGTTCGACACCTACATTTGCGAAATTTTCATGCAGGCCCAAAGGCATTGGTAGCCTCCATCAAATTAGAATTTTGGATCGTCAACGCTAGAGATGTTGCTCGTCGTAYCGTTCGTTYYTGTGTGCATTGTGTTCGCTACATACCAGTGCTGTTAAAGCAGGTAATGGGCCTACTACCACTTACTCGTATTACACCTGCACGCCCATTTGAATGTTGTGGGGTCGACTTTTGTGGACCAATAAAGACATATCTTCGAATTCGAGGAAAACCACCCACCAAGTCATATTTAGCTGTATTCGTGTGCCTCGTAACTAAAGCTGTRCACATCGAGGTGGTATCCGACCTATCAACAAACGCATTTCTAAATGCATTGAAGCGAATGAGTGGTCGCCGTAAAATGCCATGTGATATCTTTTGCGACAATGCTACCAATTTTGTAGGCGCATCTAACCAGTTAAAGGACCTCAAACAGTTCTTATTCAAGACTCAAACGTTAAATGAAATTTATAAATATTGTTCCTCTGATTTTATTAATTTCCATTTCATTYCACCCAGGGCACCTCACTTCGGCGGCCTCTGGGAAGCTGCCGTGAAGAGCGCGAAAGGGTTGCTAAATCGCACATTGGCAAACACTAAATTGACATTCGAGGAGTTAAACACCGTTGCTGTAGAAGTAGAAGCCATTCTTAATTCACGTCCGCTATGTTCAATGTMATCAGATCCTAACGACTTTGGTGCACTGACAGCTGGTCATTTTTTRGTCGGTGATTCTTTGCGTGGCTTACCTGAGCGCTCACTAGAGCTGAAGACCGTTTCACACCTTGATCGCTACAACCCAATCACTGCCATCAAGCAAAGTTTTTGGCGTCGCTGGCCTGTGGAGTAACGTATATACGAACTACGAGCCCGTGTAAAGTGGAAAACACCTTCACCTGATCTCACTAAGGGAGCTTTAGTGATCATACATGATGACAATCTGCCACCGCAACGTTGGAGATTAGGTCGGGTCGAATCAACCGTGCTTGGACGAGATGGCCATGTTAGAGTGGTGAATCTCCGAACTGCCAATGGAACTCTTTGTAGGCCAATATATAAATTAGCCATCCTTCCGATTTCTTGAAAGATAGTTCTTCCAACGGGGGCCGGGATGTTGGGTCACCCTAATGACTGTGACCGGTTCTCCGGTTAAAAGTAATACATTGTTATTATAAATCTCTCTTTGTCTCATTGCTTGTTAATAACTCAATTTACGCTGCTTACATTTATACGCACATGTATTCACACACATATTGTACTCATAATTTCTTTACTTATGTCAATGCTTAAATCTTCTAGAGAGTAATTATGTATAATCATAT